TGGAGTCTGGCTCAACCTGGATATGGGCCAAAGACCTATGGCTAAATTGAAAGTGCAGGGTATCGAATTATGGGGACTCTTAGATTCGGGGGCAGACCAAAGCATTATTAAATCTACTGATTGGCCATGTAACTGGCCAACTCAAGATTCAGCTCAAATTCTGAGGGGTATCGGATATGCTCAGGAGCCAAAGCGTAGTGCAGGATTCCTCACTTGGCAGGATGATGAGGGTCATTCTGGGGTGTTCCAGCCTTTTATGTTGAACATCCCCATGATGCTGTGGGGTCACGGCGTTATGCAGGAAATGGGGGTTAGACTTGTTACTGAAGACCTTTATAGTCCCCAGAGCAAAAACATGATGAAAGCCATGGGGTATACTCCTGGAAGAGGGCTTGGCCTATGCAAAGATGGTCGCCAGTCACCCGTCCCAATTAAGGAGAGGCAATATCGCAAGGGCCTGGGTTTTTCTTAGGGGCCACTGAGCAGATACCTATAAAATGGAAGACTGTTACACCAGTGTGGGTGCCTCAGTGGCCCCTGCCCAAGGAGAAACTACTCGCAGCCCACCAAATAGTATTAGAACAACTACAATTAGGACATCTCAAGCCCTCCACTTCTCCATGGAATACACCCATTTTTGTGATTAAAAAGAAGTCTGGTAAATGGAGACTGTTACATGACTTGAGAGCTGTAAATAATAGCATGGAAATCATGGGTCCAGTTCAATTAGGCCTTCCGCTAATAACTGCTTTGCCTAAGGACTGGCCAACTATAATCATAGATATAAAAGACTGCTTCTTCTCTATACCTTTACATGATTCAGACACTGATAAATTTGCCTTTACTTTACCCTCTATGAATCATGCCTCCCCTGATGCTCGTTTTGAATGGATTGCTCTGCCTCAAGGCATGGCGAATAGCCCTACCTTGTGCCAGTTATATGTACATAGAGCTATTAAGCCTGTCAGAGAGCATTACCATTATATGGATGACATCTTGCTCTGTGCCAGTACTGAAAAAGAATTACAGAAGGCCTTTCTGGATCTAATGCAACAGTTATGTCGATGGAACCTTCACATAGCTCCTGAAAAGGTCCAGACTCAGCCAGTGAAAGAATACTTAGGTACAAAATTAACGAACACCATGGTCCAGCCTTCCAAAATTGTACTTAGAACGGATACACTTCAAACCTTAAATGACTTCCAAAAGTTCTTAGGAGATTTGAATTGGCTTCGACCCTATTGCAAACTCACCAATGCAGAAT